CTGAGCTGCTCACATGTCGCAGCGCCACACTGCCCTCTAGTGACACTAACGTCCATTACTTTAGGTACATGCTGAGTTTCTGTTGTCATGTTTCTGTGCAGCTCTGTGGAACCAGAACCACATGAAGGAGGAGCCAGAACTCAGAGACGTCGTCTGTCAGCAGGACTCAGAACGAAGGAAACCAGAGAGATGAAACGTTTCTTTGATACTTTATTTTAAATGTAGAAATCATGTCCAACATGTTTCCACTGACGTTACCGACGCTGGACCAAAGGGCGGCGCCACATTTCAGGACAGGAAGTCAGAACCAGAAGCTGCAGATAGACGTGGTGACCCGACTGCCGACAGCGGAGTCCGTCTGGTCAGAGTGTTGATAGATGATGTGTTGATACGAGACGTGTGAAGTGATTGAAGTTCTCGTCTCCAAGCTAAAAACCTGAGTTCAGCCTTCAGCAGATAAATGGACCCGGTTCTAGGGTTCAGTCGGTTCAGGTCCGGTCTTGGTTCGGACTCGAAGGCAGCACCTCAACGTCTTCAGGATGTGCTGCCGGATCTCGGCGGTTCTGATGCCGTAGATGATCGGGTTGAAGCAGCTAGGGACCAGCAGGTACATGGTGCTGAAGAAGACCCGGATGGATGCTGGGAGGCTGGTTCTGACCCGGTACGATAGGAAGGCGATGAGCGCCACCGTCAGGCTGACCGCCATCACCAGCAGGTGGGTGACACAGGTGTGCAACGCTCGGACGCTCGACTGGCCGGACCTCAGCACCGAGCCGAAGATCAGAACGTAGGAGGCGAAAATGAGGAGGAAGTCGGTGACGGGGATGAAGACGACGGCGAGGAGCCCCAGCAGGCTGTTGACGGCGGGCCAGCCGCAGGACAGCTCCACCAGCGCCATGTGCTCGCAGAAGCAGTGCTGGATCACGTTCCTGCAGAACGTCAGCGTTCCTGCCAGACCCACCAGCAGCGACACTATGACGCCGTTCCTCAGCACCAGAGGGGCCACGAACCAGAGGAACCTCTGCGGCGCCATCCGCTGGTGGTAGCTCAGCGGCGTGCAGATGGCGAAGTAGCGGTCAAGCGCCATCCAGACCAGCAGCGTGGACTGCAGCGCTCCCAGGAAGTGAAGGAGGTGCATCTGCAACAAGCAGCCACTCAGAGAGATGCTCCTCCAGCCCAACAGGAAGTTCAGCAGCATGCTGGGAACAAAGAAGAGCGGCAGGCTCAGGTCCACGACCGCCATGGCAGCGATCAGGATGCACATCGGCGAGTGGAGGCTCCGGTTGGACACGACAACGTACAGCAGCAGCGAGTTGGCCAACAGCGACACGACAAACATGGCGGTGAACGGGAGGAAGAGGACGGACCTCAGCGCACCGAGGTCACCGAATCCATCCAGCAGGAAGTGACGGTACGACGAGATGTTCGACATCCTGGTTAGAGACCAACACCTCCCCGAGTGAGCTGACAACACAGGGACAGAACAATGTCAACGGTCAGCACATCAGAAGGTAACGCAACTACACCACAAGGAGGCGCAACTACACCACAAGGAGGCGCAACACAATCATAAGGAGGCACAACAACACCACAAGGAGGCGCAACTACACCACAAGGAGGCGCAACACAATCATAAGGAGGC